GCCCTCAAGTGATCTGCCCACCTCAGCCTCCCAAACTGTTGGGATTACAGGCATGAGCCATCACACCTGGCTGTGCAATGGTCCTTAATCTTAGTTACACACTGATCATTTCAGATGGGGTGGTGTAAAAAATGGTCTTGCCTGCACCCCCTCATTCAGTCTGATCGAATAGTATCAGGTGAGGCCTGAACTTCATGTACAACCATAGTTGAGAACCACCACTAATCTTTTTCTTGATGAAATTGTTATGGGAGTGAGCACAACCTGTCATAACATGGCAGGCTCATTTATCTCTAAACATGAAAAATATTATCTGAATATATTTATTTATCGACTGACCTAATAAGAGTAAGTGGGCCTAAGAGTCTTTGCTGAAAGACTCTTGTCTGAATTGTGAATTCTGTTGCCAAAAGCACTAATGGACAACCCATCTGCCAATATTGTATAGATTCTCGTAGAATGTCACATTAACTCTACAACCAGATACAGAAACAAAAACTGTAGCTAATATGCTCAAATAGAAGAGTTCTTCTTGGTCCTTCTACTTTCCACAACTCTGTCTTTCCCATTTAAAAGTAAAATCCTATTAATGTATTGTTTTATTTGATTGATATATTTATTCAGTTGATGCACTGCTGCATTTCTTAATCAGCCACTTCAAGCTGATTGTAACCAAGTAACTACAAATCCATTCCTGCTCCAATTTGTCCCCCTCACTTTCTACCCACAATGTTTGTGCCTACTTCATTTGGGAATACAACATTATATGCTTTCTAAATTGACAAGTTTTAAATTTTAGTAAACAAAGACCAGCAGAAACACTCGTGTACTAAAGAAAAATAAGTTAGGTTTATTTTTCTTGCTTCAGCGGTTAAGAATGCACCCTTGAGTAATTACGGGATAATTCACTAAGTGGATTTGGGAGGGGCTTTGTATAGGATTTGGACTAGAGATGATAGTCCTAAATACGATTTAACGAAACAGGAGCCAGTGCTGCGTTAGATGTTGTGAAGAATTGGGATCAACTCCATGATGGGGTACCTTGGTGACTTTTATCCAGGAAAGGAGAGGATTAAAGTAGATGTAGACCAGAAGTATCATTAGTAAAGGATTGATAGTCATTTCTGTTAGCTGTAAGAGGGGGATGTTTAATTTTCTTTACAGTTTTTAGTGTCCTTGTCTGTCTTGTTACAAACATGGTCACAGACTGGCTTTATATAAACGATGCTTCTATTCTGAGTTTTGATAATGTTCAGTTGGGATCACCATGGCCTGGCTACCTGAAGGGCCACTTTTTGCTTTCTCAGAAGTTAAAAACTGTTGAATAGATGAGTTTTCCAACTCAAGAATGTCGTATCTGACAGGGGAAAAAAAGCTATGAAATATTGCTACAGGTGTAAATTAAAGGCAGAGGTCTGCGAGTGAAGAGTAAACCTTCGAAAGGCAGAATTGTTCAAATAACTTATGAGAGTGTCGTAAGTATGTAAAATAACTTCTAGTTCTAACAGGCAAAATAAGAGGGACTGCTCTTTGGTTAGGCTGGGTGTGGTGACTCACACCTGTCATCCCAGCACTTTGGGAGGCCAAGGTGGATTAGATTGCTCTTTTGGCCCTACCAGGGCAAAGTGTGTGCTGATGATCCCCAATAACTTTACAGACCCCAGGAATATAAATTGCTTTATTACTCATTGGCCTGCACATTTGCAGCTATTATGCGCACATCAGAGACAAAGTAAATGGGTTCACTTTAGCATCCTTTATCAGTCTTTTAGGCACTTTGAGATATTAAAGCACAACAGACACCACTATCCTAGAGGCAAGCTGTCTGTTTTTCTGATATGCTTTTTAGACTTCACCTTTTTGAAGATTGATTCATTTAGCATTTCCCTTTCATGTTCTTTCATGCATTAATACATAACTTCTTGACATCTAGAAATGCAAGTGCAATATGACGAATGAGTCTGCTTCATTCTTCAGCAAACAACTTTTCCTCTTTTCTCATCCCCCACTCTAATACCTCATACAATCCCCAATGGCAAAAAAACTATTTGAAAGCAATAAACGTTATGGTTTACATTATATTTCCCTTAAAATACAGACACCTTATTGGAATTCTCCCAATATTCTTCAAGGAAAGAAAATATAGTATTCTTGTTGCCACTCTAAATAAGCAAAAAAGTGTTAGAGTTTATCTATACATGTTTTTGGAAATGCTTCTCACAATGTCCATGAACCACTAGGTTTAGAATTACTGAGGGACTTGCTAAAAATCTGTATCCAAATCTCTGTAAGAACAGAATCTTTGTAAGGAGTGTAAGACATTAAGCTGCAGGTAATTTTCATGTATATTAAGATTAATTGATTATCTCCTAGTTCTGGACAGAGGATTGATGCATGTTACTGCATAGATAAGAATAAAAACATTTGGCTGGGTATGGTGGCTCATGCCTGTAATCCCAGCACTTTGGGAGGCCAAGATGGGTGGATTACCTGAGGTCAGGAGTTTGAGACTAGCCTGGCCAACATGGTAAAAGTTCATCTCTACAAAAAAGACAAAATTAGCCAGGTGCGGTGGCACATGCCTGTAATCCCAGCTACTCAGGAGGCGGAGGCAGGAGAATTGCTTGAACCTGGGAGGTGGAGGTTGCAGTGAGCTGAGATCGCGCCATTGTACTCCAGCCTGGGCGACAAGAGTGAAATTCTGTCTCAAATAAATAAATAAATAAATAAAACCTTTAAGAAGATGAGCAATTTCGCTTGTTCCTCCAGATGTCTCTATCACCTAGAAGAGTAGCTTATAGTTAGTAATTAGTGGTTATGTAAATGAACAGAAAAGAACATGAGGTCACAGGCTTAAAATATGAAGGTAATTTAGAGGTCATTTTGGAGCAAGCATTTAAATAAGTTAGAATCTTGGCTCCACTGTTTATTGGTTTTAACCTTGGGCACACACTTAACCTCTTTGTGCTTCAAAGATTTCGAGGAGACCAAAGAAACAGTACTACTTTCACAGTTTGTTATAAGGAATCAATGTGTTTAAATATATAGAGTGCTTAGAACAACTCTTGGCTAAAACACTCAAAAATTTGAGTTAATTTTGATTGAGGAATAATCAGACCAAGGTCAGGCATGTATATTTTTTGGTTGTTTTTGTTGTTTAAGAGAAAGGGGTCTCAGCATACGGTGCAGGCCAGATTCCAACTCCTAGGCTCAAGGGATCCTCCCACCTCAACCTCAAAAGCAGCTGGGATTACCAGTAGGCGTCACTGTGCCCACTAAGGTCAGGCTTCTAATCAGCCAAATCGGACACAGATTTTCTCACTCCTCCTCTATCACTTTATTTCTTTATATGATTTGGCAGATATCAAAAGTCCTCCCTTTCCAAATATCTCACTATACTGCTTTGTTTTTTACTATGGGCAGAATTTTTCACCATTGCACTCATTTTTCTAAATCAGGCAGGATTTAGATTTCTCTTTCTTTCCTTTTTTTTTTTTTCTTTTTAAATTCTTGCTGTAATACTCAGACTAGAGTGCAGTGGTATGATATGATCTTGGCTCACTGCAACCTCCCCCTCTCTGGTTCAAGTGATTCTCATGCCTCAGCATCCCAAGTAGTTGGGATTACAGGTGTGTACCACCATGCCTGACTAATTTTTGTACTTTTTGTAGAGACAGGGTTTCACCATGTTGATCAGGCTGGTCTCAAACTCCTGGCATCAAGTGATCCGATGGCCTCATACTCCCAAAATGCTGGGACTACAGGTGTGAACCACCACACTCAGCCAACAGTGGGTTTTAAATAAAACAAACAGCCAAGGATGAACTGGAAACCACAAACGAGCTCTTTTTCTATGACCTAGCCTCCGCACTTAACCTTAGGCAAAGAGTAGTGTGTCAGGGGGCCTGCCTATGGTTAAATTCTGAAAGCCTCGCCAGAGACACTTTTTTTAAACCCCTGTGGTTAAAGAGAACAGGTAGGTGCAGAGGGAATTTTATAAACGACACAAACACAAACAATTTCAAATCCTGAAAAAATTCATTTGGATGTTTGTTTTGCTTCCGTTTTATAGCTTGTTTTAAATCAAAGACTACACCTTCCCGAGACAAGCGTTGATGACACACATAGTCAAGACTGGCCAGGCTCAAGCCTGTAATAGCAGAATTTTGGGAGGCCCAGGTGGGTGTGGGGGTAGGGTGGGGATCCTGGGTATCTCTTAAGTCCAGGAGTTCCAGACCAGCTTGGGCAATATAGGAGAGCCCCACCCCTACCATCTCTAAAAAAAAAAAAAAAAAAAAAAAAAAAGCCGGGCATGGGGGTACGCGCCTGTAGTCCCGGTTACTTGAGGGGCTGAGGTGGGAGCCTGGAAAGTCGAGGCGAGCCACTGCACTGTATTCTGAGCTACAGAGCGAGACCGTATCTCATGGGGGGAGGGAAGAGGCAGGGGGAGCGGGGAGAGAGAGAGGGAGAGAGAGAAAAGGAGGAGGGGGAGGAGGAGGAGGAGGACGAAGACACAGGTGTGACCACTGTCCTCCAGAGATACAGATTCTGGCATTCTAAAGGAAGAAGGACAAAGAAACCAAAACCAGTTTATCCAAGGCTTCAACTTTTCAGTCCGACCCTTTGATCTACATTCCATTATTTTGGTAGCATGGTGGGAGTGGATTCGGAATGGACACAGACTCTTTTCAGAATTAGATCAGATAATTAAAATGCAAACAAACTTCTTTATTCCTTCACCTCAAGGAGCGTCCTTGGAAAGTAAACACACTTTGGGGCATTTCAAGGGGGGCGCAGTGAAAGGGTGTCCTTTGCGCCTCAGCTCCAGAGAAAAACGAAAGGTGGGTGGGAAACTAGGATAGAGGTGAAAAGTAAAAGGGGACTGAATCAGCGAATGACAAAGGGAGCAGGGCTCCGCACAAGAGTAGGAGGAAGAAGAGGAGTGACTGGGGCTTGTGTCAAGCTTCCTCTGAATGGTTAGACAGCTGCCAGGTGGGAGAGGCGGAGGGCGAGGAGGCGGGTTCCGCACGCGGTTGGCCTGAGGCTGATCCAGTCTTCAGCTCTCGCGGGCTGGGAGTCCGGGGCAGCGGCAGAGGCCACACCCAGGGCTGGCTGGTCCCGCGCTTTCCGGAGCTCAGCAGGCGCTTGCTGCTTGAACTGGCCAAAGAAGGAACGAATGAATGACCCTTTTGCCAGGATGGAGACCCGAGGGCCTCAGGGAGCTGCGAATCCCATGGACTCCTCCCGCAGCCTGGGGGACCTCGGGTCTTTTCCGCGCGAGGTGGGGCGCGGGGCCCCGCTGGCTCCGGGCGCCCGGAATCCCGCGACGGCGGGGGCGAGCCGAAGCCAGGGCGGCGGCCACGAGGACAGATCGGCAAGTCGGGCCCTCGGACCTTGGGCCGGAGAGGAATTGGACCGTGAGTCCTGGGTCAGAGAGAAAGTACTCTTTCTCCTGCACCCAGAGAGGTGGTTAGGGACTCAAGGGGACCCTGAACGGGAAAAGGTGGCCGGTGCAAAGGACCTTCCTCACGCGGCGGGTGGAGAGGACCACGGCGAGGAGCCCAAATATCCTTCTGTCTCTCAACGAGAAAAGCGAATTTCTGGCAGGCGTGTAGCCCCGCCGCGGGACCCAGCAGACCCACCCAAATACGTGCTTGTGCGGGTGGAGGATTATCAGCTAACACAAGAAGTGTTGCAGACCTCGTGGGCCAAGGGTCGCATGACCACCAGGACTGAGGAGCACTCCGTGACCGCGCTCACTTTTCGCAGCAGTAGAGAGGGACAGCCTGGGGGACACCGGGCCCCTGCTGAATCCCGGAATCTCCAGGAACGAACAGGGGCACCCCGCGTTCACGCCGCGGAGAGGAGAGTTTCACCGTCTCCAGGGACCTTGCTCGAGGAGATTAAACTCTAAAGAGTAACCCGAGAAATGTTCCGGGATGGTGGATGAGCGATCATCCTTAAAAGAAAATGCTATTCTGGGAACTCCAACCAGCAATTAACCTGCAGAAGGAACCTTTTGAGAAGCTGGCGCAGAGCTTCAGGCAGGCAGATTAAGAACTGTAAGCAGCATAATACCTCCTTTGTGGCTTGAATTCCTTGGCGGTGTGGGGACCTAAGTCATTCAGAAGAGGGGGAGAAAAAATATTTTCAGATTGACAGAATGTGGGAGTTTTGAGATGAGAAAACCTGTTGTTAATTTGCATTTTGGAATAACTCAATTGATCTCTTTTCTGTTCCCCCCACGCCACCCCGCACTCTTGTTTCTCTTTAGGACCTAGAAACAGAAGTGAAGTTTGAAGTCTGCTCTCTGCAAAGAGGGTGGGAGTGGGTGAAGGAGAGAGGCTTGTTTTAAAAGCCAAAAACAGAAAGTAAGAAGAAATGGGAAAATAAAACCAAAGCAGCAAGTGACTCTCTTCTGATGTGCACTTTTCATTTTTCTTCCCACATTTCAGTGTTAGAAAGAAAAAGAGAGGAGCTAGGGAAAGAAGGAGTTGGGACAGAAGACTAAGATTTCAACATGAAATTCCATTTACAAGGCTTTACCGCAAACAATAGCTCATTTAGTCCTGTAAACATGCATTTTTCATACATTTTTAATTTTAATATTAAAAATACTGCATGCAAATGTTCTGATTTAAAGGTAGATAACAATATGTAGTTTGCCATAAAATGAATGCATATCTTATTCTTTTCCTCAGTTCTTCATTAATGAGACCTGTAGTCAAGAATGGATTGAAAATACCGATCTCCTGGTGTAGTTAAAAAAATCTCTTCTGGTATTGCTGAAACAACTAATTTTTCTTATTTTGTTTATTCTTCTTTATTATTAAATACCATCTGAATTAACTCTTTAGTAGTTGGCCTGGTTGAAGCTCTGCAAGGAGCAAAGCAGCCCTCTCCAGGTGAACTACTTCACTTTACCACCTGAAGGAGTATTTACTGCAAGAATTAACAAAGCAGGTAGGACTCTGGCTTTTGATGAGCAAATGGTTGCAAGGTGCCTCCTTCCCCAGTCTTCCCTTTTGTCTTCATTTTTAGTTTAGAGCTTGAAATGTTCTCAAAAGATCATCTGATCCACCTCTTGCCTCCTGGCAGGCCAGATAGATAAGACGCTCCTGTTTCACTCATGAGCCAATCTAGGCCTAGAGGTCTTGTAGCATATCTAAGTCACACAGCTAGTAATTGCATATGCTTACCAAGTGGATGAAGAATGTGATCATCTCCCTCCTAAAGGTTTGGGGTGGCCTTTAGAGGATTTAGTTGACCCTCACTTAGGGGTCAAAAGATGACTGAGGATATCCTAGGTTTTCTTTTTTTCTTTTTTTTTTGAGACAGAGTTCCACTCTTGTTGCCCAGACTGGAGTGCAATGGCAGGATCTCGGCTCACCGCAACCTCTACCTCCCGGGTTCAAGAGATTCTCCTACCTCAGCCTCCCAAGTAGCTGGGATTACAGCCATGCACCAACACGCCCGGCTAATTTTGTATTTTTATTAGAGATGGGGTTTCTCCATCTTGGCCAGGCCAGTCTTGAACTCCTGACCTCAGGTGATCCCCCTGCCTTGGCCTCCCAAAGTGCTAGGATTACACGTGTGAGCCACCGCGCCCGGCCGATATCTTAGGTTTTCTAACTCACGTTTGTGAGAAGTACTAGAGAATCACTTTAATGTTCCTGAATCCTGCAAGGCCTCTCAGCTGGAGAATCATCACTAGCAGTTCTTAGGCCTGTGAGACCCTCACTTGGGAGAGGAATTCAGCATCTGAGCTCATCTGTGTTCAAAACTGCTTGACAGGTAGAAAAGATTCATCCCTTAAGATGAATCTCTTTTCCTTAACAACCCTGCCTGACTCCAATGGTAGATTAACCTGTTTGGCACATAAGTTTCAGACCTGAGCTTATTAATTTGGTTGAATCATCACATGCCCAGGTGACTGATCATTGAATATGGAGAACAAAAAAAGTCTCTCACAATAACCAAAAATGGCAAGTAGCATCACTCAGCTGCCTTCTCTGGAGGCAAGCTCTGGAGGTCAGCTGCTTGGGTTCAAAACTGGCTCTACCTCTTTATTAACTGTATGCCCTCGGGCAAGCTGCCTTATCTCTGTGTGCCTCTGTATCCTGATTTGTTAAGTGGGGACAATAAATAGTAGCAACTTCATAGAGGGTTTTTTTTTTTTAAGGGTTAAGTTAAACGAAAATACTTAGAACCTTGCCTGTCATACAATAAATGCTCAAAGTTAGTTACATTTTTTATTATTAGCATGGTTATTATTTAGTTCACTTTTCATCCTAACTAGGCTTTAGTCTTTTGTTTAGTAACAAAGAGTAGAAATTGTATAACACAAGAAATCTAATTAAAGTCAAACCATTAGTTTTTAATAAGACTGTTCTGTACTCCTGAAAGCAAGGACTTATTTCTAGCTTTTCCCAACCTTTAATGGATCAGTAAGTATATTTCTTAAATTCCTTAGAAATGACCTTCATGTCTTGTGTAGGGATTCATGGTAAGGCTCAAAGGACTAAGGTACACTATGCTTAACAGTCATTGAAGAGATTTTAGTACTGCCTAGTTCTGGGCAGATGGGAGCTTTGAATACTTTCTTTAACCTGTCAGGTTAGTTTGTTTTCCCTCTGGGGCTTTAAATCTGATGCCCTGTTGTCTAGAAAAGCAAAATAGACACAATTTGTTTGCATTTTGTCTTTCAGCCAAAAATGTGTTTAGCCAGGTTAGCTTAACTCCTTTAAACCAAATATGTTTGAGTTAATTATTTTTTTTTCCTTTCCTCACTGTGTTTCAAGCAATGAAAATTTATTTTTAAAGTGCTTGCTGAACTTCCCGATTAACCGCATGCAACATGTTTATAGATTTCATTTAATATAGAGTTCTTTCTCATTGGAAACAAAAAGTAGTAAAGTCGAAATACTGTTGAATTTGCTTCACAGATGTTCCTGATCCAAGCAGAACCCTGTTATTTGAAGAGCCTGAGAAATCTTATCCCATTTAGAAGTGTCCTGGGAGTGCATCCAAAGTGAAACTTGGGCATCCTCAATACTAAGAAATCTCTGAGAATGGCTGGGTCTTGGCTCTTTGATCTTACCTCTACTCCACTGAAAAATACGGTTATCTAAAATTGTGTTAGGTGGATGAACCGCATCAAAGACTTCCAGAAGCCACTCCAGTGACCATAAGACAAATGTCAGAATCGCATAACCACCAGGATCAGGCAAGTGTCATCCTCTCTTAAAAATATTTGTTTACAACCGCGATCTCCTTTTGGGAATCATTACATTTGACTTGCTGCTTATTTTTGTTGGACGTTTCCAGTGCTTGGCGATAAAACTTGATGTGGCTCTTTGCTTTGAAAAAGAAAAAAAACCTTTTTATTAAAAGAAAAAGTTATACACACTGCATAAAAATTGGGGAAATGTTATGAAGACAAAGAAAATTATAATAAAGGAAACAAAAACTTACAGATGACCCCAAATCTCTTTTAATATTTGGCAAGTTTCAAATATGAGTTTTTTTGTTTTGTTTTGTTTTTGTTTTATAAAGACAGCACCTTGCTATGTTGCCCAGGCTAGTCTTAAAATCCTGGACTCAAGCAATCCTCCTGCCTTGACCTCCCAACACGCTGGGCTTACAGGCATCAGCCACCATGCCTGGCCAAGTATGGTTTTATTTTATTATATCTTCATGTGTATATACCTACACATATACATACAGTTTTCTAAACTATGTAAAGTAGTATTAATGTAACCTCTGTATATTCCTGAATATTTTCTTTATATAAACGAACATATACTGATGCTACTCATGATGTGTTCTGTGAAACGGCAGCATGGGCTTCTCCAAGAAGGTTTTTAGAAACGTGGAATCTGAGGCCCCATTCTAGATCTACTGAATCAGAATTCGCATTTTATCAAGATCATTGGATGATTCACATTAAAGTTTGAGAAGCATTGACATATTCTCATATTTAGTTCTGTATTCTATTTTGTCACTTACCAAAACTAAAAGGTTTTTTTTAAATTCTGTGTTCCCAATTAATTGTTAACAATGCCATGAAGATAATAATTTGTAGAATTTTGAAAACACTTAAAGATTACAGGAGGGTGAAAGATAGAGGATATGAATTGGTAAATTGGCAAAGAGATCTCTATGAAGTTTTACAGTGTCTTTTTTAAAGAGCCTTATTATTTGAAAGTTTGCCCTAATGAACCATTGACTCACCATTGGATTTCAAACTATTTCAGAAATGTGGCTATTTCGTTCTCTAGGAATATGAAATAATACGTTATCAAAAACTCCTGTAAGGGTGAAAAAGCAGGAAGTCATTAACATATTGCACAACTGCAACTCTGCAGGCTGAGTCAGAACTTGTCAGCCACTTGTGATGAATTGAGAGGAGTGGGGAAAAGGTGGAGCCAGAATTTGAATCAACTGATTCAGATAAGTAAACAAAGGGCTGTGACTCTTGAACACCGTGACATCTCTGTAACTGCAGTCAGTACTTTGCTCTGTAATTAGGGAGGGCAAATCTGTGAATATACTTCTCTAGATGACGATAAAGTCCAGATTACTTTGGAGAGAGTAAGGAGTTATGATTGGTTTTCAGGCATTATGCAGCCAGTAGTCACAAATAAAACATTAAGACTTGGTTATCTTCAAAGCAAGGAATTAACCAAATTCAAACTTACATTTCTAACCTTAAAACAAAACAAGAGGCGGAGCGTGGTGGCTCACGCCTGTAATCCCAGCACTTTGGGAGGCCCAAGGCTGGTGGATCACCTGAGGTCGGGAGTTCAAGACCAGCCTGACCAACATGGAGAAACCCCGTCTCTACTAAAAACACTGAATCAGCTGGGGTGGTGGCGCATGCCCGTAATCCCAGCTACTCGGGAGGCTGAGGCAGGAGAATCACTTGAACCCGGGAGATGGAGATTGCGGTGAGCCAAGATCGTGCCATTGCACTCTAGCCTAGGCAACAAGAGCGAAACTCCGTCTCAAAAACAAACAGACAGACAAAAAACGGAACAAGAGTCTTTGAGGAGACTGCAGCCCTCCCAAAAATAGAACAAACAGAGGCTGTGTTTGCAGAGCTTGGTATAATAAAAGAGTCAGCCAGCATCATTTGTGTTTGGCAGGGAAGCAAAGGCAGGTAGGGCAATAGGAAAGCTTTGTAGTGGCCAAGATGATCTTACCAATTCCTCAGCTTGACTAAATTTTAGATAAGCTTCTTCTTGACTTAGGTCCCTGACTTTCCCTTTCTTAGAGCATTTACTTTAGACGACTTTCAGTTGTAAATTCTTTCTCTGCCTCTTTGAAATGTAAGTCTAAGAAAGATCCAGGTATGTCTTTCTTGAGGACCTAGGAGCCATTCCTTTGAAATGTAATCACCAAAACCAAACAAACAAACATCCCAGAGGTCCCTAACTATCAGTCTCTGTGGGAGGGTGGAAGCCCAGCTTCTCAAAGTGCCAATCAGCAAACATAGATGGCATAATCACATTGACCAGTGTCCCTTTTAACATTGTCTCGTAGTTTTTCACTAGCTCACCTTAATGCTTAAAACGTTCCCACCTTTTGTTTCAAAGGAATTGAATTCAATCTCTCTCCCGAATGCAATAGTTTTTGTTTTTTTGTTTGTTTTTTGAGACGGAGTCCCGCTGTGTCGTCCAGGCTGGAGAGCAGTGGTGCAATCTTGACTCACTGCAACCTCTGCCTCCTGGGTTCAAGCGATTTTCCTGCCTCAGCCTCCTGAGTAGCTGAGACTACAAGTACATGCCACTACGCCCAACTATTTTCTTTTTTTTCACTTTTTTTGTTTTTAGTAGAGATGGGGTTTCGCCATGTTGACCAGGCTGGTCTCAAACTGCTGGCCTTAAATGATCCACTTGCCTTGGCCTCCCAAAGTGCTAGGATAACAGGTGTGAGCCACCATGCCTGGCCGCTAATGCAATAGTCTTGAATAAAGTTTTCCTTGCTTATTTAACTCTGTCCCATGCAATTACTCTTTAGCAATAGTGGAAAAAGAAAGGCTTTAGTTATGCTCTGCTTGGAGCCTATTGGCATGGGGGAGCTGGAGGCAGGTGATCTAGAAGGACAGCTTCTTATATGACTGGTTTAGGGATTTCTTAGGTGGGCCCTGAGTTGGAAAAAAGAGAGAGAGAGAGAGAAGCTGGCAGTCACTGACCAAGTCCTGACCTTTTGAGCTGATTGCTCCAGAGGCTGTGGTTTGACTTCCCAGGTTGTGACTTTGTCACAAAACTTGTAGGCTGGAATTCTGTAATAAATGGTATCAATCTCATAAGTTTTTTTCAAGGATTCAGGTGAATAAAAAAATTCTTAGAACAGTATCTGGCATATAGTAAATACTCAAAATTAACTATTATTATAATTAGTAGTAGTGGTAGTGGTAATGTGTTGTTCAGTTTACTTTTCATTCTAATTATTAGGCTTTAGTCTTTAATGACAAAGAGCAGAAGACATAGAACACACACACACACACACACACACACACACACATACACACAAATCAAATCCAAACCAGTGGTTTTTACTAAGACTCTTTTCTGTCTTTTTCCATATTTCACCATATATGATCTGGTCATTGTCCATACATATACTCAGGCTTTCATTTGTGTTAAACCAACCCTGAAGACCAAGTTAGAAACTGAAAAATCCAGTCATAAAATTCTGGAAGATTTAGTCACAGATTTATTTTATGGAGATAATCACATTATACTTGTTTATTAGAAACATCCAGAATGCGGCCTTGCAAGTAGCTTTTTTATGGAGGTGAAATATGCTTTGGCATAGTTTAATCCTGTTGACATCCAAAATGCTATGTAATGGACTAGTGCCACCTACTGAAAGCAAAGTCAAGTCTGTGTAAGTCCACCTAGGCATGGGGTATTACCTAGTGGTCACTGGGGTTACAGCATACATAAGCATTACCTTAAGACTGCATGACTTGTTCCTGGCCCAAACCCCTGAGTGTTAAATTTGCTTTGTGTGACCATTGGACCATCCTTAGGCCATTTTCTACCTTCAAAACATCTTGTGACTTTGAGCATATTTGGAAAGGCCATGAGGTCCATGGAAAAGTGGGCACAACTGCATATCTTGAATTCGACTTACTTGGAAGAGGACAAATGAGGTATAAGGGGTACCACCGACTTTTTAACAAAGCTAGAGAACTTTCAGGGAGGACTTCAGAATGCAGTCAGCTTCTGTAAGGATTCTCTAACTGGTGTCCCCGTGTCAGGAAAAGCCCTAAGCCTACCTGGGGACTTTCCAATCCAGCCTCAATGTTATCCCAGGCCCCTGAGGTTATAGGGTTTATGCTATAGTCTTTCTATCCTAACTGGGTGGAATAATGTACAAAGTTACAAATGAAATAAATAACCTTTTATTAGAAATTGGTAAGGCTGGGTGCAGTGGCTCATGCCTTTAATCCCAGCACTTTGGGGGGCTGACGTGGGTGGATCACCTGAGGTCTGGAGTTCGAAACCAGCCTGACTAACATGGTGAAACCCCGTCTCTACTAAAAATAGAAAAAAATTAGCCAGATGTGGTGGTGCGCACCTGTAATCCCAGCTACTTGGGTGGCTGAGGCAGGAGACTTGCTTGAACCTGGGAGGCAGAGGTTGCAGTGAGCTGAGATCACACCACCGCACTCCAGCCTGGGTGACAGAGCGAGACTCCATATCAAAAAAAAAAAAAGAAAGAGATTGCTCATTTCTCTCCCTGGTTGGGATTCTGTTGGAGTAGAAGAAAGGGGATTCTCTGACCTATATATTCAGTGGCATGCCAAGGACCAAACAATGGGTGGGGTTTGCTCGGGAGAGAACAATAAGCAGTGCTTGTCATTAGAGATTTTAAAACAATGATAAAGCCAGATTAAAAGTCTTTCTGCTTTCTTTTTTTAGATGGAGTCTCACTCTTGTTGCCCAGGTTGGAGTGCAATGGCTCAATCTCAGCTCACTGCAACCTCCTGCCTCCTGGGTTCAAGCTATTGTCTTGCCTCAGTCTCCTGAGTAGCTGGGATTACAGGCCTGCGCCACCATGCCCGGCTAATTTTTGTACTTTTAGTAAAGACGAGGTTTTGCATGTTGGCCAGGCTGGTCTTGAACTCTTGACCTCAGGTGATCTGCCCGCCTCAGCCTTCCAAAGTGCTGGGATTACAGGCTTGAGCCACTGAGCCTGGCCTCTGCTTTTTATTACTGTCATGTAGTTAGTGATAAAATGCTTCTATTTGAAAACAAATGTATTGTTTTAAATTCTAAAAAATTCTCCTGATTATTGCTTAAATTTTAATAAAGCAGATGTAATTTTCAAATTAGCACATTTTTATTCTTC